AAGGTGGGGCACAGGTCGTTGTCATAGGGAGAGCCTCTGGTGGTTACTGAAAATTCTTTGCTCCCACATGCACACCACGGTCCTGCCTGGTGCTCGCACCTGCTGCCAGTACCGGCCCAGATCGCTGGCACCATCAGTGGGTGCGAGCTATGGCTGCCATCCCTGATAGCTCCTCTGGGCTTCTCCACCTCCCACTGCTCCTAGGCAATTGGCGCTGCTGGTGCCAGCTCCAATCTTTCTGCGCCCTCAGCAGGGGCGAGTGGGCTGGCACAGTCAGTGCATGGGAGCAGCTGCAGCAGAGCAGGATTGCTAGACAATGGACTAGGGGCAGTGGCAGGAGGGACTGGGTGGGGGCGTGGAGGATGGGCCAAGACCTTCCCCTGTGCCCACTGCAGCCTTGCAGCACACAGTTCCTTTCAAGGTGCACCAATTCATGCACTGGGCTCCTAGTGTATACGGTAATAATTACATTCTCATTCCTGTTACGGAATTGCTTAGCTAAAAAACTAGAATATTTGCTATTAAAAGTAAATCATAAAACAAAACAAAACACGGTTTTGGGGGTGCCCTGTAAAGGGAAAGTTAAATAATTTTCCACAATATTTACTTCTATTCACTTCTAATATTTGATTAAGAGCACTGGTTTAGAATCACAATCTTAGTTTTTAAGATCACCACTGCCACCTACTTCCTGTGTATCCTTTTGCAAGTGACTTAATCTCTTGAAGCCCCTATTTTCCTAATGTTTAAAGATATAACAGCTTCATCTCAGCAGGTTGTTGTGAGACTGGAAGGAAATAATAAATGCCATGTGCTCAAACACACCGATGGCCACAAAGTAAGCACAATAACTCATGCTAGATATTACTATTATCATTATTACTGCTTATTTTATTTTTTCAGTTTTATTGAAATATAATACGTAACTTTAATGTATATAATATGATGATTTGATACATGTATACATTGTGAAAAAATTACTATGACAAGGTGAATTTACAAACCCATCTTCTCACAGTTATTATTTTTGCATGTGTGTTGAGAACATTGAAGATCTACTTTCTGCAACTTTCAAGTATACATTACAGTGTTAACTGTAATTACATACTGTGCATTAGGTTCCCAGAAATTATTCATCTTTAACTGGAAGTTTACACCCTTTGATTTACATTGCCCTATTCCCCCGACTCTCCTAGATCTCAGAAAGCACCTTTCCACTCTTTGTTTCTATTAGTTCAACTTTTTTATATTTCACATATAAGTGAGTATACAGTATTTGTCTTTCCCTAATTTTGCTGCTATTATTTTATATTCGAGTGATAAGAGCCTGGATAATAAAGCACTCATTCAATTAATTTATAGAATCCAGCTTAATCACACACACACACACACACACACACACACAAGCATGTGCATATATGCAGCTTTCATTTACCACAGTTGTAATTAAAATCCAGGAAGGCACAAATTAATATGAAATGTTAAGCTGGGAAGTATGAAATTTTCATTAATGATAAAGTCTAGAAAGAAAAGTTAAATTTAGAGGAGTTTAAGAAAAGAATGGGGCTCAAATTATTCTCCAAGAATAAGCAATAGCATAAGAGTTAGGAAGACCAGTGGACCAGGGGTCAGGACAACGGGGTTTTAATTCTGTCTTTACCATCCCAAGCTGATGACTTTAGGCAAACCTCCTATTCTCCCTAGACTGTTTTTCCTTCATGGGAAACTAAGAGCACTCATTTTTCTTTTAGATTATCTAAACAACAGAAAAACATCATGGGGCTCTGGATTCCCCTGTAAATAGCTAATTACTATTAATTAATAGTTAGACTTTTTAATTAGCCTTAACCAGGAGGCCAATTAGATAATGAGGTCCTCAACCTGTCTACTCCCAGGGTCAAACTGAGAAAGTGGACACATAGCAGGCACTCAGTAAATGTTGAATATTGGCTTTGATATATTTGTTGGATATCCTAAATCAAATCTACTTTAGACTAAGTTCCATGAGAATTTATGTGGGGGAAAATTCTATTACTGACAACAGATAAAATGTATGCATATCACTGATAAGTGAGTGGTCTTAAGACTTCAGAAAGAAGTCTTAGGGGCTCAGAGTAAGAAATCTAAAGACAGAAAATAAAGGAGATTAGAAAGAAATAAGGAAAACATAAATACCTGCTGAAACTATGGAGAAAGTACTTAAATGTTTTTAAATAGTGCACGCTCTCTCTCTCTCAAGCCTTTCCAATGCTGGAAGAGGGAAGAGGATAGACATGGAGCTGAAAGTCACCTGGAGCAAACCTGAGGTTTGTTTTTGAAGTCTCTTATTTCATATAAAAACTTCAAAAGAAGCCTGCTTTTGACTCTATAATGTATCAGAGTTTGTTTTTTGTTTAAAATGTTTTTGGTGAAATTATTTACATTACTTAACTCCTTCTTGCAAGTACTTAAGTAAAACTGATGCTCTAAAACACACCTGGTGGCTCACAGCTCTACCTAGCCACCACCAAGTATGCATATCCCAGTTTATGAAGCATCGTTCTTTTTATTTAATAAAACAGCACATGCACATAGTTTTAAAAATCCAACAGAACAGAAAATCTTTCAATGAAAAGCAAGAATCCCCTCCCCACTTTTTCCCATATTCAGTACCATTCCCTAAATGAAATCCATCAGTGCACAACTGTTTTTGTTTTCTAAGCAATTACTTACATATCTCCAAATAATGTTTATACCACCATTTCTTGATTTATGAATTATAGACAACATTCTTAGAGTTCTTGCTATGAGATGAAAATTTAGTTTCATCAGATCACCTGCTTCTTCCCTCAATAGTGAATTCAGTATTTTTACTTCAATGTATTTATCCTGTTAGGAGCATGTTTCTTTTCTAGTCCTGGCGTTTCTTTCCATACACAGAATTTTTCCTTAACATTCCTGGCTTTTTGGTCCACCTGTCATTATTCCTCCTCATGGAGGTACAGTGAATTACTTGTTTAATGAGTGACAACCATTGATCCACCAGTCTCATTTGGAAAAACTAATCTCCCAAATGCCTTGGACTTAAGTATTTGTTTTCTTCTTTCCTCTACCCAGACCAACAAAAGGCAACAGCCTGGCTAAGTATTTCTCTCTGTTGACTCAATCTTTCCCTTGGATGCGTTTACCGAGGTCTGAATTGAACAGGTAGAGAGTTAGCAAAAACAAGCTCCAATCTCCAAACCATTCTTTATCTTTATAATAAAGATAATATTTTATCCCCTTTCTAATGACTTTTGTCTTTTCATTTGGCTCAGAATGTTAGTAAAGAACAAGGTCTATTTAAAAGGCTCCTCAAATAACCCAGCATCATTTTATTCATGTTCCATCAACCACAAACACTTTGAAAGAATGAGTTTGTTATCACTCCTGCCCTTCCCATAACCTCTTTGCCCTCCTGTACCTCCCAGCTGACCACATTTTGCTTTTGTACTGTTAATGCATTGAAAACATTTGTATTGTTTTAAAAATTAAATATTCCTGGGTTAATAGTTCTAATACATGTTTCTGAACTATTAAAATATGGCAGGATTTTCAGGTGCTTATCTAGGCCTCAAGCTGATCCTAGTTGTACAAAGCCAGAATTGACTGAGTTCTGGGTGAACTTGTAAACCAGAAATTTCAGATAGGTAAGGCACTGTCTCAGGACAGGCTAATAAGGTGTTCAATGCCTAGACTAAAGGCAGGTAGGTTTGGCTAGGACACAGACCCCAAGAGCCATACCCACAAAACAAGCCTGCATCCTAGGCCAGCTCATTCTTTCCCTAGGATTTGGCACAGTTAAAAATTACTCAGGACTATTAAAAGTGTTCACAAATACCTTACCCATAGTGCAGAGGCCACCAGACTAATTCCTCTGCCAGAATTGATTCCCAAAGAGAACTACTTGTCTATTTACCTAACAGGAGGGCCAGGTTGATATTTCAAGTATTGTTCTTAAGATTTTAATTTACCATCAGTGTCTAAAAGATGCCAAGTGATTATTTTTCCAATAATATAATTTCCAATACAATGCTAAAAAACAAACAAACATATAATGACCAAGGGCAGATATTTCTACGGTCTCTTATTTCTTTGGTATATATGATATATATCTATAACAATAAAAGCATAATATGTAAATTGACTAAACGATCGAACAGCAGAAAGACCATCTGGACAAACTTTCTGATATTCATACTATGACACGTACTGGCGCCAGGCCACCCAAGGTGGGTGTCATGCAATTGGTAGAGGGCCCCACCATCACCCCATGATGGCCACCCTCTTCAAGGCAATCGATTGGAGGGTTCTGTGGAACCCAGGAACCAAGGGTGTGTGATGGCAGATTGGGGCAGCGCTAGGCTAGGGCGGGTCTGGGCGAGGAGAAGGCGCTGGGGCTGTAAGAACAGGGGCTGTGAGAGTGGCAGTCGGGGGAAGGAAGGACTACCTTTGCATGAATGTCATGCATCCAGGCACTAGTAAATATATAAATTTACATATATAAAAGTGTGTGTGTGTGTGTGTGTGTGTGTGTGTGTGTGTATAGCATTTTGTTCAAAAGACATTAATTTTAGAACACAGTAAATCAGTTTTCTAGATTCATACTTAAACATCACTTTCAGAATAAGCTCCAGGATGCCTGGCTTATCCAATAAAACAAAGAGGCACGGGCCGGGGGTCAGTTGGCTGGAGAGTCATGCCGTACACCGAAAGGTTGCAGGCTCGATCACCAGTCATGGAGGCAACCAATCGCTGTTTCTCTCTTTCCCTCCCTCTCTCTCTAAAAATCAACAAAAACATATTCTTGGGTGAGGATTAAAAAACAAACGAACATAGGAGCACTCCTGTAAGAGTGAGTGAAAAACTTTTTAAAATCTTGTTTTAATACTAAAGTTTCTTTGTACTGAAAGTCAAAACACAGCTTTTTAAAGCGCAATCCAATGCAGCAGCCCTCAAAATGAACAAGATGTATAACTTACCTCTTTAACAAGGCTGTGGGCTTCATCCACATTGAAGCCAACCTAAAGGGGGAAAATAAAAGACAAAGCTGCTTGTAACACAGACTTCATCTTATTGGCAGTAAACAGAATCCCCTAGGTGGGCCTCGACAGATGTTAGTGAATATAAGGGAAATCCATTCTACTGAGGCTACTAATCCTAACTCAAACACTACGTCCCTGGAGATTTTGATTCATTTGGTCTGAGGCAGAACCTGGGCAACTACATTTTTAAAAATGCTTTACTGGTGATTCTGATGAACACCCTAGATTGAGAATCATTGAATTGGAGAGTGCAGGAAACTGCAGGAGGTGGATATAAAGATGTGTCATCAGTATACAGGATATGGCTGCAGTGAAGTGAGAATGAGGTGGTCAATGAGAACAGAATGCTTATTACTTAATTTTGTTTTTAACATGGTAGGCAAAACATGGCTTTTCAGAATTAAGGATTATGAAAATACTGTGACCATTGTAAATTAATGACCCTTTAATATATACTAATAAAAGAGAAATATGCAAATTTCTCCTCAACACCCACCAGCCGATCAAGAGTGAGTATGCAAATTAACTCAACAAAGCTGGTGGGTTAATTTGCATACACAGGCATGGAGTGGCAGGGTGGGGTGGGACACCAGCTATGAGGGGGAAGACGGGGGTGGAGGGAGCTACAGGAATGGTGCTCTGGCTGGAGTAGAGAAGACTGAAGGTGGTCACCAGAGCGAAGGCCTGGGTCCCAGGTGCTGGAGGAAAACTGGTGCTGTCAGCCAGGGGAAGGAAGGCCTATTGCACGAATCTTCATGCAATGGGTCTCTAGTCTACACTAATAAAAGAGAAAAATGCTAACTCACCGTACCTTTGCTATGCCCACAGCCAATCAGGAGTAATATGCAAATTAACCCAGCAAAGATGGTGGGTAAATTTGCGTATGCAAGCAGTGGAGGAGGCAGAGGCCCTATGCGACTGGAGTTGGGGACATGGACAGGCAACGGGAGGCAGTGCCTGAAGCCACCAGTGGATCCAAGCTGAGATGGGGACCTGGGCAGGCAGCATCAGGTGGCTTGGACCCAGGCAGGCAAACCACCTTTCTGTGTCCAAGCTGCCCTGTGATCAAGGGGCAAAGAGCCATGGTCCAAGCTGCCCTGCAATTGTGGGGCGAAGAACCTGGGTCCAAGCCGCCCTGTAATCACGGGGCCAACAGGGCAGGCCAAGTCGCCCTGCGATCACAGGGCAAAGCCTGGGCCCAAGCTGCCCTGTGATTACGGAGCGAAAAGCCTGGATCCAAACCATCCTGCGATTGCAGGAAGGAGCCCAGGTCCAAGCCACTCCCTAATCATTGGGCAAACAGACCAAGCCGAGCTGACCCACGATAATGGGGAGAACAGAACAGGCCAGGCTGAGCTGACCCCCACGATCATGGCGAGAACAGGCCAGGCCAAGCTGACCTGCGATCATGGGGTGAACAGGTCAGGCACAGCCTAGCCAAGCTGCCCTGCAATCCCAGGCAAAGAAGCCACCCTGCTGACTAACCTGTGCTATGGACCTGTTCCCCTCTAGCCTGTAGCCATGGGAAGTCTCCCTCCCCCCCGAGTTAGGAGCACCAGCCCAGGTCTACCCAGCGGCCTGGTTTTGACTGCGGGGGTGAGTTCCTGCAGGCTGGGGTTTGATTCTGATGCATTAGCAGTAGGAGACCAGTGCCTTTGTTATTGCTGTGTGTCTGGGTTTTAATTGGACAAATGCCCGGTGGTCCCGGTGGCCAGCTTAGCAAAATCTTTTTGGAGAATTCTGTCTGGGTTTCCCCAAATTCCCTCAGCCTCTACTCACTCCTCTGTAAAGGTGCAGAACCAGTGAGGCCCTTAAATAAAAATCAGCTGCTTGATGAGTATGGCATCCCTTCCTATTTTAAAGGAAGCTGAGTTCCATGTGTACTACGCTATGATATCTGAGTCACAGGACATGGGAGGCCCTAAGTGTACTATACTTTGTATTTGAGTCATTCTTTATTGTTCAATGTAATTTATTTCTGTACGCCTCAGTTTTGTAATAGTTAAATTACTAGAATAATACATCTTGCTATGCTATGAAATATTACTAGAAGATCAAATGATCAGTTGACACTTATTATTTTCTATAAATGAACACAATCTCTGGTATACTAAAGCAATAGGTATTACAGAAATATTCAGATAGAGAGACCTACAGGCTTGATTACAAGTGAGGCTTACTATCACAACCCAAATTTATTGCTTGAAAAAAAGCAGGGAGCCAACTAGAAACTGAACCAAATATAAGTCTTTGAAGGGAAAATGTAAATTGGATAAGCTTTGCTATTACAAGAGCAAGAAGAAAAATTCAGATGCAAGAACGAAAACCACATTGCATCCACTCTAAGTAACTGTTAAAGAAAAAGAATGTTATACTATGAAAATACTTCATACAGATTGTAAAGACATTTGTTCAAAGAGGATTTGCTAGAATAGGTGATATTTTTCAAATGTGAAGAGGTTAGCTAGATAAGAAAAAAGTGTAGAGGGTTCCGAATTGCAGAGGGTGCAGGCAGAGCAGGGAGAACCCCCACACCATGCACGAATATAGCCTCTGGTGCTATAATAGGTCTAGCAACTTAGTCTTTCCTTTGGAGTGACTTGATTGACTCCTGAGTTAAAAGCAACTATTAATGACATCCAAGTGTCTGTCCCATAGTAGAGATCTAGGCTATGCAATAAGATTGAAATTTACACCAAAATACTTCAGGTTAATCCATGGAGCTTTCTGACATCAGCATTATTGGAAATCCCACTATACAATTCAAAAATGGTTTAAAAAACAAGTAAATTCTGAAAATAAGTATCATCTTGAATATAGATATTTTCAACTCAGTTACACCACAGACTTCCCCACTAAAGGAATAAAAATTCCCTAAGTTATTAGGAATATTATGAAAACAGCCCACACATTTTGACCCTTTTAAAATGTTAATTTCACCTTAAAATAGGTCATCTATTTTTTAAAGTGGTCTACAAAGGAAAGGGTGTCCATTTCACTTTGATTTGGAAGGTCACAAATACATAATCAGGATGTATGGTATGGTCATGGTGACGTGTAATTTCATTTCTTTTTAAATATAAGTATTTAGGAAGTAATGCCATGCAGAAGCCTCTTAAGAGTCAGAGTAGCACTTGCTGGGGTATATGCCTGAGGGTGAAATTTTTGTGGCTCAATTTCTAAAATAAGAATAAATTAGCACTAATCTGTAAGTATGTTTGCTACCTGCATCACAGAACTAATGAATTTAAATGTAGTTTTAGCTTCTATAGGAGCCCACATCCTAAAGATGGTTGAACCATAAATCCCTTCTGGAGGGTCTAATAACATATTATTTTATGCTGTCCCTCCACTCTGCGCCTACTTTCTTTTCACCGCACCATTCAACTGTGGCTGTATTTTCTGTGAGACAGAAAATGTCTTTGTCTCTTCTGCCCTTGCAGGCCTGTCTTGGTTATTGTGAAGTAAGAGTTGTTGGGAGGAGATCAGAGGCCTGAGTTCAAAATGGAGCTTCTGGCATTCCTTGCAGTTTTAACTTCACCATTAAAGTCTGAGTTGCCATCAGTAACAGGAAAATAACCGACACCATAGGATTATGGTGAGGTTTCAGGAAGTCTGAGTCAGTAAATAAGGGTTCTTAATCCATAAAGCACCTCCGCACCTCCTTTCAGGCACCCAGGACAGAGAGACCGGGAGCTGGAGCGGCTCTGCAACCAGGGCCTCGCTAGCAGGGCAGCGGCACCTACTTTGGGGAAGCCAAGGGACAGAGGCAGCGCCCAGGAAGACGGCTTTACAAAGCTTGTCCCTGCAGACAGCGGTGCCCTGCACCCATCCCCACCTCACGCATCCCGTCAGGTTTCCACCCCTTGGCCTAACCCCACCGCCAACCCCAATCCCCACTGACCGCCCGGGCCTCTCAGCCCACCCTCCAGGCCTAGGTGTGGGAGGCGGGAGGGGTGAATTCCTGGCCTGGCGGAGAAGAACCAATTCTCCCGGCCTCCCGGGCGCTGGGAGAGCATGACACTGAGGCGGGCGGGGGCTGGGGTCGCTCTAAGGCAGCAGAGCAGCAGTACCTCCTCACAGTGGCGATGGTACTCCTCCATCGTGTTTCCGACTCTCCCGGGGGCGGAGCGATGGGCGGGTGGAGCTCTGCGGCTGCGCACTGGCCTCCAGGGAGACACCGCCCTTGTTTTTGTCCCGGGTGGTTCCTAGTAGCTGCCTTCGTGACTCAGCGGCACTGCCTTCCGGCATAACGTCAGAGTTCTAGGCGATCAGAGGTCTCTCCAGCTTCCTCTGACCTTTCTGGAAACAAGGGATGGGTGTTAAAGAGCAGGGGATTGTGCCAGGGTGGATCATATGACGTGTCCTGGTGTCAGTAGCTCTAAATCCCGCATTATTATTTGACTGCCCACTGCTGTGGTTATTTGCACATATTTGTTTATCAGCCTCCAGCAAATAAGTGTAGTTAATGCAATGGTGATCAAGCCGCTTTGATTTGTCCAATTACTAGCTATGTTACCTGCAAAAAATTAACCTCCCTACAGCCTCAGTTTTCTTGTATGAAAAGTTAAAATTATATCCATTTCATGATTAGTTGTAAAGATCAAATGAAATGCTGTATACATAACTCCTAAAGTGTACACTCCTATACTCCTCCTCCTCAATGACTATGTAAAAAGAAACATTAAATTCATAAGAGAGAAGGTAGAAATATCTCCATTAATTGATACCTTTTAGCAGAACAATGATTATGTTTATTTTAAAATCCTTAAGAGTTAGATGATCCTAAAGATTTTCACAGTGAAAATCATAACAACCCAGCAGGTTTGGTTCACTTACCATCATCCCATTTTTATTTTTATTTATTTGCATTAAATTTATGGGGATGAATGGTTAATAGCTCATACAGGTTTCATGATACAAGTATACATTTCTATGATACATGATCTATATATTGCCTTATGTATCCACCGCTCAACGGCAAATTGTCTTCTGTTACCAAATATTTGGCCCCCTTTACACCCTTCCAAATACCCCTTTCCCTTCCATCTGTTAACTACCATACTATTGTCTGTGCCTATGAGTTTCAGTTTTATATCCCACGTATGAGTGCAATCATATTGTTCTTAGCTTTCTCTGATTGGCTTATTTTGCTTAGCACAATATTCTCAAGGCCCATCTGTGCTTTCACAAATGGCAATATTTCATTATTTCTTATAGCTGAGTAGTATTCCATTGTACATATGTACCACATTTTTCTTCTTTATTCAGACCTCTATTAAGGGCACTTTGTCTTGTCCATCATAAATAATGCTGCAATAGGCATAGGGGTGCATACATTCTTTGCGAATAAATGTGGGTGTTTTTTTTTTTTTTGTTTTGTTTTTTTTAGTTTCTCAGGTAGATATCCAGAAGAGGAATTGATGAATCATATGGTAACTCTATTTTTAATTTTTTGAGGAACTGCCAGATTATTTTCCACAGTGGGTATACCAGTCTACATTCACCAGCAGCGAAGGAGGGTTCCCTTTTTCCCACAACCTCTCCAACCTTTATTATTACTTGTCTTGTTGATAATAGCCATTCTAACAGGTGAGGTGGTATCTCATTGTACTTTTGATTTGCATTTCCCTAATAGCTAGTGAAGTTGAGCATCTTTTCATATATCTGTGGGCCATTTGTATGTCTTCTAGGGAGAAGTATCTATGCAGGTCCTCTGCCCATTTCTTAATTGCATTGTTTGTTTGGAATTTAGTCTTATGAGTTATTCATATACTTTGGATATTAACCTCTTGTAAGAGCTATTGTTTTCAAATATCATCTCCCATTCTGGTAGATTGTCATTTGGTTTTGGCAGTTTCTTTTGCTATGCAGAATCTTTTCAACTTGATATAGTCTCATTCATTTATTTTTTCCCTTACTTCCCTTGTCTTTGGGGCCAAATTTATAAAATGTTCTCTACAACTAAGGTCCATAAATTTAGTGCCTATCTTTTCTTCTATGTAATTTATTGTTTTAGATCTTATATTTAGGTGTTTAATCCATTTTGAATTAATTTTTAAATATGGGGACAAACTATAATTTAGTTTCATTCTTTAGCATGTGGCTTTCCAATTTTCCCAGCACCATTTATTAAAGAGTTTTTCTTTTCTCAATGGTGTGTTTTTGGCTCCTTTGTAAAAAATCATTTGCTTATATACATGTAGGTTATTTCTGGACTCATATAGCCAAAGCAATCCTGAGAAAAATGAACAAAGTCAAAGGTATTACACTACCTTATAGCTAGTTGACCTCTGAGCTACTATAATCAATACAGCATGGTATTGGCAGAAACACAGGCATGCAGACTAATGGAACAAAAGTTATATGAGCAAATAATTTTTGACAAAGAAGCCAAAACACACCATGGAGTAAAGAAAGCTTCTTCAATAAATGGTGCTGGGAAAATTGAAAAGCCATATGGAAAAAAAAAAGAGAAAGAAATTAGATTACAGTTTGTCCTCATGTATAAAAAACAATTCAAAATGGATCATCCCATTTTCAAAATGAAAATTTAAGTAATTTCCTCAAGATTATATATCTAGTAGATAGTAGGTGAAGGATTTAAACTCAAGAGTCTGATAGTAGCACTTAAGTTCTTAACCACTGTATTAGTTTCCTATTGCTGTTATAACAAATTACCATAAAATTAATGGCTTAAAGCAGCACAAGCTTATTATTTTACAGTGTTAGAAGTCAGAAGCCTAAGATGGGTCTGTAGGACTGTTTTCCCTCTGGAGACTAGGGTAGAATCCATTCTCTTGCTTTTTTTTTTTTTTTTTTCAGCTTCTAGAAGCTACCTATATTCTTTGGCAATATTTAGTCTCATGCTCACACACGGCTGCAGCAGTTCTGGATTCACAAGGAATGAAGGTATTACCTCCAATGAAGAAGATGGACATTGAGTTGGATTGATCAGTTTTTCTTAGGAAGACAACTCTTTCCTTTAAGTCACCAGGAATCTTTTCAGGTTCCATTGGCCAAGATTGGGCCATTTAATTCTCCTTTGGTAAAACCTATGGAAAAACATGTTTGGCATCTTCATCTTCTATGGTGAAAATGAGTCCTGCTAGAAAGGAAAAAGAAAAGGGAAACAATTGTTAGTAGGATAGTCTTACCCACATTTTTGATGCCGTGGTCTGCATGTAAAAGATGATAATATTTACATGTTATGTTGGGTGCATCTCTAATTAAAAATATCTTCTCCAAATTATGAAATTAGATGGAAAAGGAAAATAGAAAATATGTTAAAATTGAATTTGTAAAACCATCCAAATGCTTTAATGAGGCCCTCAATGTTGCTTTCATGAACATAACATTTCATATCTGGATTTATTTTTATTATTTAAAAAAAATATATTTTATTGATTTTGTACAGAGAGGAAGGGAGAGAGAGAGTTAGAAACATCGATGAGTCATCGATCAGCTGCCTCTTGCACACCCCCTACTGGGGATATGCCCGCAACCAAGGTACATGCCCTTGACCGGAATCGAACCTGGGACCCTTCAGTCCCCAAGCCGATGCTCTATCCATTGAGCCAAACCGGTTTCAGCCTTATCTGGATTTATTATTAAAATAGCTATAAATTCTCATTTGAGATTTTTTAATAATACTTTGTCCTCCAGATCTTAATAGTTTCTATTGTCTAGAAGTATTCTTCATAGAACTGACAAAACATTTTTTATTTCCATAACTAAAGGTGGGTGCACAAAATGAGTACAGACCACAGATGCTGCTAAACACAGCCCCCTCAAAAATAATTTTGCTCAAAAATGTCAAAATTGGCCAAAACTGGTTTGGCTCAGTGGATAGAGCGTTGGCTTGCAGACTGGAAGGTCCCAGTTTCGATTCCGGTCAAGGTCATATACCTTGGTTGTGGGCACATCCCCAGTGGTGGGTGTGCAAGAGGCAGCTGATCGATGTTTCTCTCTCATCGATGTTTCTAACTTTCTATCCCTTTTCCTTCCTCCTCTCTGTAAAAAATCAATAAAGTATATATTTTTTAAAATGTCAAAATTGTGTTAGATGAGGGTAAACAAGAAAATTTCCCTGGCCCCATTGAGTTTATAGTCTAGTGGGCCAAAGCAGCTAATATGCAAATACTACATATTTGTGTATATCCATGTATATGTATAATATATGTATATGCACATGTGTATGTGTATGTATATGTACATGTATATGTATATAGAGTGGGGCAAAATTAGGTTTACAGTTGTAAGTATGCGAAAAACAAAGTTTATTATTGTATTATTATTATTAACTAGAGGCCTGGTGCACAACATTCTTGCACAGTGTGGGAGAAGTGTCCCTGGGCCCAACCTGCATCCTCTCTAATCTGGGACCCCTCAAGGGATGTCTGACTGCCCATTTAGGCCCGACACCAGTAGGATCGGGCCTAAATGGGCAGTCAGACATTCCTCTCACAATCTAGTACTGCTTGCTCCCAACTGCTCACCTGCCTGCCTTCCTTATTGCCCCTAACCACTTCTGTCAGCCAGCCTGATCACCCCCTAACCACTGTACTGCCAGACTGATTGATGCTTAACTGCTCCCCTGCCAGGCTGTTTGCCCATAATTACCCTACCATGCAGGTCTGGTCACCCCTAAATTCCCTCCCCTGCAGGGCTGGTCCCACTCAACTGCTCTCCCCTGCAGGCCTAGGTCCCCCAAAATAATCTTCCCTGCAGGCCTGGTATCTCCCAACTTCCCTCCTCTGCCAGCCTGGTCACTCCAACTGCCCACCCCTGCATGCCTGATTGCCCACAATTGCCCTCCCTTGCAGGCCTAGTCCCTCCAAACTGCCCTCCCCTGCTGGCCATCTTGTGTACACATGGGGGCAGCCATCTTGTGTGCTGAAGTGATGGTCAATTTGCATATTATTATTTGATTAGAAAGGATTAGATAGGATAGAGGCCTGGTACATGGGTGGGGGCCAGCTGGTTTGCCCTGAAGGGTGTCCTGGATCAGGATGGAGGTTCCCTTGGAGCATGTGGTGGCCTGGCCAAGGGGCCTGTGGTCGTTTACAGGCCTACCATGCCCCCTAGCAACCTAAGTGGAGGC